TATATTATATTATATTATATTATATTATATTATATTATATTATATTAATTGTATTTATTATATTATATCATATCATATTATACTATATTATACTATACTATATTATATTATACTACACTAAACTATACTATATGATATTTTATTATACTAGACTATGTTATATTATATACACTATACTATATGATATGATATGATGATATTATTAGTTATATTATATTATTAGTTATATTGTTATGTTATATTATGTTGTTATGTTATATTATATTATATAAGACACATATGCTATTAGAAATGTAAGTTTCATGGTGAGCTTCTACTGTTTATTGATGACATCATCTAGCGATTTCTGTACGTCATCAAAACTATCATGAGCAGGCAATTAGATGGGCCCTTTCCATAAGCATGGCAGCCTTGAGCAAGGAAAGTATCAGCCAAGTAGCCCTCTTGCCAGCGATTGACCACTCTTTCATAGCAGCCTTGTTGTTTGGGACTCTCTACAGTCACTACAGATGACCACTACAGCCACAATTGGAGATGTACCCAGGCAGCTTAGATAGCTTTACAAAGCAGAATGGACTTCATATAACCCTTTGTACATAGCTGATATTTGCACCCCAGCCAGACAAGGAGCACTTCCCCAGGTGTCCCAGCAGAAGTCCTCTGTTTTGGTATTGAATGCTCCAATCCCTTGTTTGGTGTTATGAATGGTAATAACATGGTCCTTCCTTCAGATTAGGAATGTGCAAACACCCTTGTCACATACACTTCTGTCTAGATATGAGGTTGCTGTGTTCCCTTTTCTAGGAACCAGGAGGCACATTCTTGTGCAGCCCTCTAGTGCTGCATTTCAGGTTCATTAAAAGCCTTCTTCCTCTTCTGATGGGAATGTAAACTTGTACAACCACTTCGCAAATCAATCAGGTGTTTTCTCAGACAATTAGGAATAGTGCTATCTCAAGATCCAGCTAAACCACTCCTAAATATGCTCAAGTATACGACAAGGACATTTTCTCAACCATGTTCATAGCAGTTTTATTTGTAATATCCAGAATCTGGAAACAACTAAGGCGTCCCTCAACTGGGGAATGGATATAGAAATTGTGGTGCATTTACACAGTGGAATACTGCTCAGCAATTAAAAAGAAGGAAATCATGAAATTTGCAGATAAATGGTGGGAACTAGAAAAGATCATCCTGAGTGAGGTGTCCTGGAAGCAGAAAGGCACACACCTAGATACTCACTTATAAGTAGGTAATAGACATATAAAATAGTATAATCATACTAAAATCCATACACCTAAAGAAGATAAGCAAGAAGGAGGAGTCTGGATAAGATGATTAGTCGTCATTCAGAAAGGCAAATGAGGTAGACATCGGAAGCCCATGGCAGTTTAGTGTCCAAGTGGGTCCCTAGTAAGGGGAACAGGGGCTGTCTCTGACATGAACTCAGTGGTTGGCTCTTTGATCACCTCCCCCTGAATGGTAGGCAGCCTTACCAGGCCACAGAGGAAGACTATGAAAAACAGTACTGATGAGACCTGATAGGCTAAGGTAAGATGGAAGGGGAGGATGTGTGCCCCTACCAGTGAACTGGGTAAGGGGCATGAGAGGAGATGAGGGAGAGAAGGAGGGCGGGATTGGGAGGGTGGGGGCTACAGCTGGAATACAAAATGAGTAAATTGTAATAAATAAAAAGTTATATATGTATATTTTTAAAAAGCCTTCTTCCAAATGCTTTTCTTTGCCTAGATGCTGGTAGCATAAAGAGAAGAGTAGAAACAAGAGGCCACTATGTAGCTGATGATAAGATGACCTGGTAGGTCATGTATCTTTAGCGCCACCTGAAGCAAGAAAATATGAGAGAGGAATAAAAAAATAAATAAGTCAAGAAGAGGAATTTGGTATGTTGCCAGTGTGGGAGCAGCTTACTTTGAAACCTGCTTCTGGGCTGTCTCATACCCACTGACTAGATTATAAATTCACTGGAGGCTGGTCTTTTCTGTGAGCCATTTCTGATCATCAGCTGTCTGGCACTAATAGCCTGCTATGAGAATCTGCTCAGGAGAAATGGAAAACCTACTGAAGCTATGTCTCTTTCTTCTCTGCTTTGAAACTGGTAAGTATTGTCTGCAGTTTGTTTTTATCTGCTGTAGGGACAAAAGTAAATCAGCTCTTATCCCACCCTGCTTTGTCCATGGTGTTTGGACATGCTGCTGAGTGGATCATACCTGTTAGGCAAAACAATGGGTTAGCTGAGCTATCCAGAGGGTTAGTGGCCTGTGATTTTATTGGGAAGGGACGGTGTGGCATCTGTCTCCTCTAAGCACTCTTTATTTTTGCAGCTTTCACTGTACAGTGTATACTTTGTCCGAATTACAAAGATGGGGAGTGTGTTCATGGGGTTCGGACATGTACTACACAACCTGGTGAAGCTTGCATGATCCGCAGATCGTGGGGAGAAGGTGGAAGTAAGTATGTGTCCTGTGTTCTGGAGAATGTGTTTCTCCTTCAGGATTCCAAGCACCATCTCTAAGATACAGTGCTTAAAGAAACAAAGTCAACTGATATCCATTTATTATACAGGACCAAGTGCTGTCATCAACATTATGACAATCTAACACTAAGGCATGTATTGAGAAAACAGGGCTTCTCTCCATCATTGCATTGTTACAGTCATCAGTTTTCTGATCCTCAATAGCTCTGCTATTTATAGTCTGTCTTAGTTACTATTCCATTGCCATTTAAAAACACCATAGCCAAGACAACTTATCAAGAAATTAATTTGGTGTTGGTACAAGGTTCCAGAGAGGTAAGGTACTTAACTATCATGGGGGGAAACATGATAGCAGGAAGGCAGGCATGGTGCTGGGGTCCTAGCTGAAAGCTTACAGCCTGTGACACACAATGAAGCAAAAAGAGAGAAGGGTGAGAGATGATGAGAATGGCATTGGCTTTTGAAACCCCAAACCCCACTCCCAGTGACACACATCATCCAAGAGGTCCACAGCTTCTAATCCTTCCCAAACAGTTAGCCAGTTAGGGGACCAAGCATTCAAATATTCAGGGTTATGAGGGCTATTCTCATGCAAGCCACCACATGGCCAAAGGCTATAAACTATCAAGTAGCTAAATATGTCATTTCTTACAATCTGTCCTGATGGCTTTTCTTTTCTATTTTTTTGTTGAACTTCAGTCTTAGTCTAGAGACACATTCTCTGGAAAAGTTTTCCTTATCTAAAGGACGCCTTGGTGTTTCTCAGACTTCCTGCTTCATCTACCTCCTGGCATATATTATACTCTATCCTTGGTATCAGTCCATATTGAGGGCCACTATAATACTGTTCTATATTAATATTCTATAATATTGTTAATGTTCTATAATATTGTTCTCCACTTGCTGTCTTGCTCACTATTGTGTCTGGATACCTACAGTACTGAATGAGCCCATTGTATCTATCTACTTGAGAGGGAGAGGATGATATGTTAGGTTCATCATCCAGAACCTAAAGTCTCAATGTAGCATTCTCAGACCAAATGTTCTTAGATATGAGATTGTATTCTGGCTCTCAAAATTTTATATATATTTCTTCCTTCTTCCACAGTTAGGAATCTACTAAGTGCTGAGTCCGGGTGCATGAAATCCTGCAAACTGGATGAAAAAATTTCTGGAACTTTAACAGTACATACATACTGCTGTGATTATGAAGATTTCTGCAATGACATCAAGTATCCAATTATGTTGCCTTAGTGTGAGCTAGTTTCAGTTGACCTTATCAGTCCTTTCCTTTTCTCCTGGTCTAAATTTTCTTCCCTTGAGTTTTATTTTTACTCTGTACTATAGATTTTTCTGGAAATCAGAATTGTGCAAGTCTCTGAACTGGAAGACAGACAGAAATTCCTTGCTCTTCTGAAGGAATATGTTATACTACAGCCTAATTACTATGCTTGGTATCCATTGGCCTTATCACCATGACAATTGCTGACCCTTGGCTTCTATCAATGCATTTATCAGTTCAGTAAGGGCTGCTAAAATAAATGAATAGCTTAAAAAGTAGATTGTCAGGAAAAGGATGAACAATCCCAGTATCTTTTGTGCAACACATGCTTTAGGAACTTAGTTAGAATTTTCATCACTGTGACTTATACTTCCAGGAAACAATTTAAAGGAGGAATGATTGTTTTGAATCCTGCTTTCAGCCTTTTACTGTCTTGCTCCATTACTACAGGCCTGTGGTGATGCTAAACTTCATGACAGCAGAAGGTTATGGCACACCAAAACTGTTCACCTGGTAGTGTCCAGAAAGTCAGACAGAGAGAGGACTAGGACAAAGTATGGATACCAATGAAGTACAGACAGTGGATTGCTCTTGCTAAGTAGGCCCCCAGTTGAAAAGAAAAACATCTGGATGATCTTGTTCCCATTATAGTCACTGCTACAATGTAGTAGTGCCAAGTTTCACCCAATTAAGAAAATCTTACCTATTGTTTTTCTTATATTGTTTTTGTTATATTGCTAGAAAATAAATCCACTATTTCCTCTTCTATGAAAGATGTTCCTTCTGAGCAAGTAGGGCATGAATAAAAAAATTGACTCACATCTATTTTGGGAAGGTAATATTTCATCATGCTGCCTTTGTATCATTAAGAGAGAATTCTGTCCGTCTTGGTGGCCTTTCTGAATGACAATTGAGCATTTTACCAAGGGTCCTTCTTCTTGATTAGCTTCCTTAGGCAAACAGATTTTAGTATGATTATCCCATATTATATGTCTAATGTCCGCTTATAAGTAAGTATATACCATGTGTGAGTTTCTGCTTCTGGAATACCTCATTCAAGATGATCTTTTCTAAATCCCACAATTTGCCTGCAAATTTCATGATTTCCTTGTTTATAATTGCTGAGTAGTATACCATTGTGTAAATGTACCACAATTTCTGTATACATTCCTCAACTGAGGGGCATCTGGGTTGTTTCCAGCTTCTGGCTATTCCAAATAAAGCTGCTATGAACATGGTTGAGCAAATATCCTTGCTGTGTACTTGAGCATCTTTTGGATACATGCGTAGGAGTGTTATACCTGGATCTTGAGGAAGCACAATTCCTAATTGTCTGAGAAAGCAACAGATTGATTTCCAAAGTGGTTGTACAAGTCTATATTCCCACCAGCAAAGGAGTAGGGTTACTATTTCTCCATATCCTCTCCAGCATTTGTTGTCACTTTGATCTTAGCCATTTTGATGGGTGTAAGGTGAAATCTCAGGGTTGTTTTGATTTGCATTTCCCTGATGACTAAGGATGTTGAGCATATCTTTAATTGTTTCTCTGCCATTTGATATTCCTCTATTGAGAATTCTCTGTTTAGCTCTGTGCCCCATTTTTTAATTGGCTTACTTGATTTGTTGCTGTTTAACTTCTTAAGTTAGAAAACAGGGAAAAGGACAGGAGCCTATCACCGAGGGTCTCTGAAAGACTCTACCCAGTAGGGTATCAAAACATATGCTGAGACTCATAGCCAAACTTTGGGCAGAGTACAGGGAATCTTATGAAAGAAGGAGGAGATAGAAAGAGGTGGAGGGAACAGGAGCTTCACAAGGAGAGCAACAGAACCAAAAAATATGGACACAGGGTCTTTTGTGAAACTGAGACTCCAAACAAGGACCATGCATGGAGATAACCTAGAATCCCTGCACAGATGTAGCCCATGGCAACTCAGTGTCCAAAAGCATTCCCCAGTAATAGGAACAGGGACCATCTCTGACATTAACTCATGAGCTGGCTTTTTGATCTTCTCCACCTGAGGGAAGAGCAGCCTTACCAGTCCACAGAGGAAGACAATGAATCCAGTCTTGATGAGACCTCACAGACTAGGGTCAGATGGAAGGAGAGAAGGACCTCCCCTATCATTGGACAGGGGGAGGGGCATAGGAGAAGAAGATAGAGAGAGGGTAAGATTGGGAGGGGGTGTGAGAGGAGGCTACAGCTGGGATACAATAAACTGTAATTAATAAAAATAAAATAAGAGAGGACAGGAGCTCCACAAAGAGAGCAACAAAACCAAAAAATTTGAACACAGGGGTCTTTACAGAGACTCATACTCCAACCAAGTACCATGCATGGAGATAATCTAGAACCCTTGCACAGATGTGGCCCATGGCAGTTCAGTTTCCAAGTTGGTTCCATAGTAATGGGATGAGGGACTGCCTCTGACATAAACTGATTGGCCTGCTCTTTGATCACCTTCCCCTGAGTGGGGAACAGCCTTAATAGGCCACAGAAGACAATGCAGCCACTCCTGATGAGACCTAATTGACTAGGATCAGAAGGAAGAAAAAGAAACCCTCCCCTACCAGTAGACTTGGAGAGGGGTATGCGTGGAGAAAGGGGACGAAGGGAGGGATTGGAAGGGGAGGAGGGAGGGAAGTAGAGGGGGGATACAAAGTAAATAAAGTGTAATTAAAAAGAAAAAATTAAAAAAAGAAAAAGAAATAAAGTGAGAGAATTCTGTTTGTAAGCCTTAATTCCTTTCCCCATCTAAGCCCAGGATCCTTTTGTTAGACTTTAATTTTTTTGATATGATGCATAGATGATACCTTTTCAATGCTCAACATTGAGTGGAATCACATTTCTTCTCAATGTATATGATATGCACATAAATCAGATGGTTTCAGCTCATAATTCTACCAGACCTTCAGAGAAGAGCTAACTCCAATTCTCTTCAAACTGTTCCACAAAATAGAAACAGAGGAATATTACCAAACTCAATCTATGAAGCCACAGTCACCTTGATACTTAAACCACACAAAGACGCAACAAAAAAAGAGAACTTCAGGCTTATCTCTCTTATGAACATTGATGCAAAATACTCAATAAAATTCTTGCAAACTGAATCCAAGAACACATAAAAGATACCATCCATCATGACCAAATAGGCTTCATCTGAGGCATGCAGAGATGGTTCAATATACAGAAATCCATCAATGTAATCCACCATATAAACAAATTGAAGGAGAAAAACCATATGATCATCTCCTTAGATGCTGAAAAAGCATTTGACAAAATCCAACACCCATTCATGTTTAAAGTCTCAGAGAGATCAGGGATACAAGGCACATACCTAAACATAGGAAAGACAATATACAGCAAGCCTATAGCTGACATCAAACTAAACAGAGAGGAAATTAAATCAATCACACCAAAATTAGGGACAAGGCAAGGCTGCCCACTCTCTCCATATCTCTTCAACATAGTACTTGAAATCCTAGCTAGAGCAATAAGACAACTTAAGGAGATCAAGAGGATACAAATCAGAAAGGCAGAAGTCAAAGTGTTGGTATAATGTTCTTTTAAAATGTATAGGCCTTACCTTTGTTAATTCAAATGCTGATTTTCCCACCCCCACTCTCTGGTTTCAATCCGGATATTGCATTGTGATACTCACTATAAGCATCCTGTCTCAACTCTTGTGTAAACAGGACAAAATAAAGCAACTAGATACAATGTTGTGCAATGGGAGGAGCCAGAGGACAGGAAAGAGGGAGGCTTAGGAGGGAGTAAATATTGCCCAGCATTGTGTTCTAGGTTAACTAAAAACCCAGTCTCTGTGTGGTGATTTGGTTATACAACTGTTTAAGATTAACAGCAAGCTTTACTAGAAGATAAACTGATAGTAAATATTTATAACCACTTACAACATCAAAGTATCACTATTCACAGATGGTATGATAGTATACAGGAGTGACACCAAAAATTCAACCAGAGAACTTCTTCAGCTGATAAACACCTTCAGCAAAGTGGTTGGATACAAAATTAACCCAGAAAAATCAGAATGCCTCCTGTATACCAAAGACAAAAGGGCCAAGAAAGAAATTAGGGAAACACCCTTCAAAATAGCCACTAATAACATAAATTACCTTGGTGTGACTCTGACCAGGCAAGTGAAAGACCTATTAGAAAAAATTTCAAGTCTCTGAAGAAAGAAATTGAAGAAGATATCAGAAGATGGAAAGATCTCCCATGTTCATGGATTGGTAGGATTAACATAGTGAAAATGGCCATCCTGCCAAAAGCAATCTACAGATTCAGTGCAATTCCCATCAAAATATCAACACAATTCTTTACAGACATTAAAAGGGAAATTCTCAACTTTGATGGAAAAACCAACCAACAAACAAACAAAAACAAAATTGCCAAAATGATCCTGTACAACAACAGATCATCTGGAGATATCTCCATCCCTGGTCTCAAGCTGTACTACAGAGCAATAGTAATTAAAACTGCATGTTATTGGCATAGAAACAGTATGGTGGATTAATGGAACCGAATAGAAGACCCAGAAATAAATCCACACACCTACAGATACTTGATTTTTTACAAAGAAGCCAAAACCATACAACAGAAAAAAAAAAAATACAGCATCTTCATCAAATGGTGCTCGTCTAACTGGATGCCTACATGCAGAAAATGCAAATAGATCCATATTTATCACCCTGCACAAAACTAAAGTCCAAGTGAATCAAAGATTTCAACATAAAATCAGACACACTAAAACTGTTAAAAGAATAAGGGGGAAGGGCCTAGAACTCTTTGGCACAGGAGAAAACTTCCTGACCAGAAAACCAACAGCACAGGCTCTAAGATCAACAATCAATAAATGGGACCTCATGAAACTGAAAAGCTTTTGTAAAGCAAAGGACGCTGTCGCCAAAACAAAACAACAGCCTACAGACTGGGAAAGGAGCTTCACCAACC